ACGCAGCATTTATAAGTGAGCATGAGACTGAATTGGATTGCTGCTTTCCCACAGTTCAGGCCTGTGTTTTAGATTCAAAAACTTGGTGGGCTCAGGGAACAGTTGGATCAGGCCAGGTGAGGCAGAAGCCCACCCAGGCAGCCCCCGGGGGCACCACTGCTATGGAGGGAAGGACTGGGGCCCCCCACAGCTTGGCCTGCTGACAGCTCACCCCTTGGCTGCAGGCAGGCTCTGGGTCCAACAACATCAACAAAAGGATCAGGCCCTTCGTCGTAAGGTGATGGTCAAGTTGAAACAGTTTAGTCCTCAGGGTTTTAGTCTATGTCCCACCATTTCCAATAGAGCACTCAGGCGCAGTTATGCAATTGATGTGCTGTGATCACTTCTTATCCTGCCAACCATTATTGTGCGGTTGTTTTCAGGTCCTCCCTCCCTCCTGCCCATGCGCCTTGGTCTGTGTCCATCTGTTGTATTTTGCCTTCAATTGGGAGGTCTTCAGAACAGAATTTAGATAAGGTACACAAAGCAAAATATTTTCCAGTGAGTCTGATTCTGATTTTTCTTATCCCCATGTAAATAACAGTAACTTCACTGATTTCAATATAAAACTGGTTTCAGAGAGCACAGAATCAGGCCCAGTCCATGACATGTTACTGCATTTGATTCTTGTCATGTGTCATAGCAATAAAAACACAGCACAGATGTAAAGTCCCTGATGTAGGGAATGTGAAATGTGTTTATCCAGCATGATCCTTGCTTCAGTAGATGTTTGGGGGCTAAACAGCAAGTATCTTAAGGCGTATATTGCTGGAGAGTTATTCATGGGCCGATGAGCATGATCCAGAAACTGCCAGAACTTCATGTTGACACAATGAAAAACTTGGAGTTCAGCACAGTGCTGAAGTGGACCTCAGTGGGTAACAGCAGGTAATGACTGAACAGTGTTCCAGCACGTGAAGCTTCAGGACGAAGTATCCAGATTGACTCTTCTCCCCCGGTGGTCCCTTTCTCCCTTGTGTGGGCAGATGAGCCCAGTGACAGCTCCAAGAGAGTGTGTGAGGGGACAAAGGGGACTGTCAGCTTGCCCTTAGGAGAAGGTCATCTAAGGTTGGGAGGTATTCAGCACGTGGCCTGTAGGCAAACTTGCTTTGGTTCAAACCCCAGAGAAAAATTATACCCACAGGGAAGAGCCTGCTGGTGGGAAGGATGACACCAGGTGGCTTTGTGGGGCCCAGTCAAGAGCCATGTGTCTGTGTGCTTGTCACTGACAGTAGGACTCAGGAGTAGCTATTAACCTGTGGGTCAGTCCTATCTTTTTACTGGAGAAATGCTACTTCCCCCTCACCTCTATGCCATACTTACTCTTTTAGGCCTTTTACCCACTGCTGCAGCTTGTGTTTGTGGGCCTGCCTTAATGCTTCCTTAATGAGGTGAACAGAAAGGGGTGCTTCAGAGCAGATAAGTGTCATCAGGACCACAGCAGATGAGATGCTGCAGATGAGGGTTAAGGTGTAATTGCAGAGCTGGTGTGAGCTACAGAACAGGCAGCAGAATAGCAGAGGATGCTGTGAGACAGGACTGAGGTGCATTAACAGAGTTTGTGGAGGTCCAGGACTGAAATATTAAGAATCAATGTAGGTCTCTCTCTTCTCTGTTCATGAGCTCTCCTTCCAGCAGCACCAACACTGAGTAAAAGCTCACTCCATCTTACAGCTGCCTGCTGTCATGCCGAAGCACAGTCCATCCCTGCCTCCTCCCTTAGGGTCTGGAAGCAGCCTCCCTGCCTTTGTTCAGTTACTGTTTTGTTTCTTCTGGGACAGCTTAGGCTCCCACAATTAATTTACTCCTTTGCAAAATAGTCTCATTCCTCCTCCTCCGTAGGTAATTATCTCCGTTGACTCCAACCTAAACCTTGGAGCCTGCAGTTCTGTTCTACATCAACAAAACTTGGACGCAGCAGGGTCGGACAGAGTTCAGTTCCAGTCTATGAGTTGCTTTCCTTTACCATGTTTCCTCAATACCAACAGTCTAGCTGAGCTGGAATTATTACTGGCTTTGACCATCTAGCTTTCTTGGTGGGTGATCCCTAGCACCCTGAAAAATAGTTTCTCAGTATCTCCTTCCAAGTTCCTTCCATAGCACAATGGCATTCCCACTGGAGGAGACGGTTGCTTCCAGAGCTGTGGGAGGACCATGGCACTGAGCCTAGCTTGACATTGGATCTGCACAAACAGGAGCAAGGGACATATCCATTTATCAGAAGGTTTTTAGTGGGCTCAGACATTTACTAAAATAACATCCATACCCTGTGTTTTTAGCCTTAGGAAAACACAGCTTGAGCCCCAGTGTCTCTGGTTTCTCTATTCCAGACAGCAAACAAGCAATTGCAGGCTGTGGCTTTTGTGTGGGTTGGGAAGGTTTTTCTGTGAGCTAATTATGCCAGGAAGGTAATGTCCAAAAAAGCCGCTTTGTCTAGCAGGTCTCAACATTAGCTCAGGCCTTGGTCATCTGGAGGCTGGGGTTCACTTAGGAAATTAATTTTGTACATCCTAATGTAGTGCCCAGGGATCTTGAAAAGCTGGCTCCTAAATTCAGTGCCTCAGTTTACAGGCAGGATATTTGCAGAGGGGGAGGGGAGCAGAGAGCTGCAGCATATCAGGTGGACTCTGCTGGAAGCCAGGCACTGGAGTAGCAGTGGGGCTGCACATCCAGATGAGGATGGGCTGGCAAAGGGAACAACCAAAATGGTGAATAGTTTGAAGAGAGGGGTCTAATCTGGGATATTTGGATTCAAATCCCTTCAGCAGATTCCCTAATACTGCAGACTGAAGAGCTTTGTGTGGAGCCCAGACAGCAGGATCGCAGTTTTCCAGGCTAGAACTGAGGTGTATTGGCAGAGCTGTCTAGGGGCTCCAGGAGTGACATGGCAAGGGAGCAGCACATATAGGAATGGAGGAATCTTTGACCTGCAGTGCTGCCCGCTTCATGGTCCAAAATCATGAACCACACCTTACCCCCCTTTAAAAAAATGATGTAAAAATAGTGAGGTTTAGGGACAAAATATAAAAACTGGTTCTTTTAATTTTCCTTCTAGTTTCTGAGCTTTGGGGATTATAGTGTCAACCCTTTCTCAGTTACTACAAGCTTTAGAACCTTGCCTTTTTTAAATCAAGATGAAATTCTTAGGCATTTCCCTGACACCAGCAGCCGGGGCTTTAAGAATCGCAGAACCATAGAAAGATCAGGACCTTAAGAAGATATCTAGAATAGGAATTAACAATATTTTAGCTCCAAGTGCAGGCAAAGCCCCCAGCCTCCAAAATGCCACAGTAGCCCTCTGGCTACACAGGCCAAATAACCATGAGCCATTGGTTGCTGACCTCTGATCTAGCTCAACTCCCAGCTCAAGGAAGAACCATCCCTGTGTAAAGCAGCCCAGACAAAGCCCAGTGACTGTGAGATCCAGGATAAATCACGAAAGCCAGCAGCGCTGTTGTCCTGCAGCTGTATGTTGTTTCATGCACTGGCCACCCAGGTTTTACTGATTGCCAGGACCACAGTGAAGTGGCAGGGCTGTGTGTAGGGGAGGCTGTGCACTTCCTGCAGCCCTGGCCCCTGCCTGTTTGCCTGCGTCACCTCGTTTGTTTATGGTTTAGATCCTAGATAAAAGGTGAAAGGCCAGGGATGCCTGCCAAAGTGATGAGTGGATCTCAGAAATGGAAACTTATGTACACATGGCAGTGACAACAGGATGCCTGTCAGCTGGGAGCAGATCTGGGGGATGGGAGGTTTTGTTCATAATCAGCACAGGATATTTGTTTATTGCTAGAAAGCAGCTTGGAAAGGAAAGGCCTGAAGGAAGCAGGGCTGTGCTGGTAGGAGGGAGGATCCCAGAGCAGAAGAGAGGGAGACCAGTCCGACAAGGGGGTGAGACCAGAACTAAGCCAGCAGTGGAAGGCTGCAGGGATCAGGAGCTTTGGAAATAGGACTGACAAGCAGTAGATTGATATCGACAGCCTGGGTACCAGGGACCTGCGTAAAAGAGCAAAGTCTTTGTGCCCATTATTAAGCACCCTGAGCTGCCCTTGATGTAGATCAGAACCATCATCCCATTTTACAGAAGGGGAAACAATGGCACAGAGGTATGAATTCACACGGTCCGCAGCCAGCCAGGAACCCAGGAGTCCTGACTCCCAGGAAGAGTACAGCAATATCCTGCTACAGAGTTTAAGGGCCAGGCATTCAGAATTTGCTTTCTCCTGGATAATCCCAGTGCTCAGTAATACCCTCATTTATATTTTTAATGTGTCTCCAGACTCTTAATTCCTCTGCTTCAAACACAGCAGCTTCTTGTCCTCTGTTCTGTCTTGTCTGAACAGGCCAGAAGGTGGGGAATCCAAGGGGAGAAAACTGAACAAAGCCATTGCTAGGTACTGCACACACAGGATACAAGAGAGTAGTGTGAAGTCTTATTCTTAACCTACAGAGGTGGTATTGCACTGAGCACAGCTGATAACAAATGATAGGTAGGGTCTAGCTGGCTGGACAAGAGGTACACAGTTAAAGTGTGAGAGGGTAAATGGGGAACATCCCTGCCTGTTTAGTTAATTTTGCTTCATCTCTTTCTCTTTCGCTGGTGCATCTTGCACAGGAGAGAATCAAAGTAGATTTTGCAGAGCTCCCAGGTCACAGTGCTGGGGAGAGGACACCCCTTTGCCTCACACATGGATGCCAAAAGCATTAGTGTCATCAACAGCTGCATGAACAGTTCTGCTGAGCCTATGAAGAACCCACCTCAAGTTCATTGCTTAATGAGATATTCTTGATTTGTTTTTCCTCTCTGGCAAACATTCAAGAGGTTTCCTTGCAGAGGGTGAGGGCTGGAGGGCAAGGGAAGGGCAAACACTTGAAATTGGCTGGGATCCCTGTAGATAGCTCAGCTTCTGCAGCACAGTTACCCTTTGGCTCCACAAGGCTTATCTGTGCCTTTCCTGGCTGAGTAAAGAGATGGCTGACTCCATGCTCTTTCCCAAAGGTGAAGAGTCCCTCTCATCAAAGGAGCATCTTCCCTGACTTTCTAATAAGGTGAATCAGCTCCCTGTCACCCTCTCATCTCAGTTAGGCAGAAGGTAACTTGAATCTTGTAGTTCAGTGGTGGCCAACACGTCCAGGTGCACAGGCACCTGGTGAGTTTGGCATATGAGCCCTGGGTGCTGAGTTAAAGAGGGCAGTGATGATGGGAGTCTGGGAAGCAATTAGGGAGGGGGCAGGGATCTGAACAGCCCCTGGAAAGGGGGCAGGGATTAGAGTGGTACTCAGGAGCATAATAGGGATCAGAGTGGCTCTTGGGGAAGGGGGATGGGAGTTGGGGGTTGGGGCTGGCTTGAGGGTGTGCCCCTGTGGGAGCTGCGGAGGTAGATACCAGTGAATTGTGTGTAACTACATTGCAGTGGCAACTGTCTTCAACATTAGGTGATGGAGGTGGCACTGTTTTATACTTTGGACTTAATGTGACACTCTTGCCAAAAAGGGTGACTGCTACTGCAGTAGTTTCTTTCCAAATAGTTCTGAGGAAGGATTTTCAAGCTGTGTGTGTGTGGGGAGGAGGTGAGGAATTTTCTCTGCTCCCCCTATATTTCCAGAGTAGCCAGTTCTCATCATTTCATTTTGAGACTAATGATATTTGACACATTTCTTCAAGTCCCAGCTCTCGGAGTCTTGTGCATACATGAGAAACTTGACTCTTTTTAATGTAAGTTCCTAACCCTGATGCTTATGCAGCAATGCTTGAAACATGACACAAGTCTGGCCTGAAGGGGGGAAAAGCAGGTTTAAAACCTGCTTATAGGTTTGTTTGTTTTTTAATTTCAAGATTTTAAAGTCAGCCTCGTTCTGGGTAGGGTAGGACGCTGACTCATGTTCTTTTGCAAGTGAGAAGTTGGTAATGATGTGTTATTGTGGGCTGGATTAATAACCTTGGGTATTTGTCACTTTAACCCTGAACAGAGCCGAGAAAGTGCGTAGTGCAGGGGTACGCAACCTCCGGCACGCATGCCAGAGCATGGCACATGAAGGCATTTGCTTGGCACTTGCATCTTGGAGAAGGGGCCAAGGCTGTGCTGCCACAACAAGGATTGGGCTCCTCGTGCCTCCCTTGCCATCTGCCCCTGGCATGCCTACATCTTCCAAGTTGAGGTTTCAGATGTTTTTGGCATTCTGCCCAAAAACGTTGCTGACTCCTAGTGTAGTGCATAGGAATTGGGCAGTATCTCTTTAAATAATGTGTATTGGTGAGCCTCCTTACTTGCTATTGCAGAAGTCACCATACCCGAGCAGAACAGCCTCTTGTATAGGTAGCTAGGCCTTGTTTGTTTGTACATTATTAATAAATAGGGATATCTGGGATCCAACTGTGTCTTCCTGGTTTCCTTCTAAAGTTATTCCTGTGATGAGAGCAAAGAAACAACACAGCAACTTCCTGAGTTTAACCCATGTGTCCCAGAAGTCCTGTCTTTTAGAGAGATACAGGAAAGTTTGGACTCCATGGCCCGCTCAAACGTTCTCCCCTGCAGTGGCTACTTACTGGCTGGTGGATTGATAGGTTTTCTGATCCACATACTGACACACAGGATGGGACTGAGACCAACCAATTCATTGCATGTCAGCAGTTAACTTAAGGACGGTCACTGCTGGGCTGGATTTGAACTGCTCACTTTGTAGGCAGGAGTCTGTTTATTTCTGTATCCTGTTCATGCTGAGTTTTGCTCTTGGGCTGTCAGAGAATGGCTCTATCTCCTGCCACAGGGACACCTGTGATGGAAGGGGGACACCTTCAGTCTTACAAGTTGATAAGGAGAAAACAGGTAGGTAATTCACTCACTGCTGTTAAGCATAGGCTTGCTGAGAAAGTGGAGTTCACAGGAATCCAGACCCCACCACAATAGGTCATCAGTCCTTTCCACAACTCTTTCTCCAGGTCAGAACACACCAATACTCTTTGTGATGACCCTGCTCAGCGCCTGTTGTGCAATCAGTCTGAGAACTAGTGAAAACTTCAGCATCTCCATTCAGAAGCCTGAGTAAATAGTCCCTCTTTATAATCATAGCTAATCCAAACCCTTCAGTACCATGAGTGACGCTAGAACATAGCCAACAGAAAATATGGCCTTTTGTGGTCTCTGGGGTGAGCAGCTTTCACCATAGTGGGGAGGAAGGTGGGTGTGGGAAAAGTATTATCAGTGCCTCCCTCTCCTGCCCTGTATCTGTTAATGGCTGGCTTGCAGGTGCTAACTCTCCATGTCACAGATGCTGATCAGTACATGTGATACTGGCTTATTGCAATCTGCTTACCCTCACTTTCTTGCTTATAATATGGTTTTCCTTTTTCCTTGGAAACTGGCTGGAGCAGAAGCTGGGCAATGAGATATGGGGCTAATCCAGCTTCATCTCAGGGCAGTGATCAGAAGCTACCATTAGCCAGTTTGGTGGCCTCACATGAGGTGCATGGGGAGGGCGAGGGGCTAATAGTGAGTTGGTAGCTTCAGAAGTGAGGCCCCAGGCGAAGAATGTAGAGGTCACAATGGACATAGCTTTCAAATGCCAAAACAGAGTCATAAGCTACCTGTCTCCCACCCACTAACACAACATAGCATGGAGAGGTAGTACTCCAACCCAGCACAAAGGAGTTAGGGAGGGAAGGAGGGAGGCTATAATACATGCCATGCTGCCCCATGCCTTGCTGAGTCCTTTTCACTGGATTGTGTGATCCACTGAAATTCACTGGATTCAGCTGTGGAGCTGAATGGTGAGCGAGAGATGCTGCTCACGGCATGTTCCCTAATGACTGAAATCTCTGCCTCACTTCCACCGGTTGATGGTATGGTGGGTGAGGGGCCCCCTACAACGTCTGAACTCCCTTTAATCATAAAGGGGAGCAGAAGGCTCTGGCTGAGCTGAATTTCCACCTTAATCCAAGCAGGAGAGCCCTTCCAGGACATGGCTTAGGCTTCTTAGCAGGGCAGAGAGAGAGAAAGCTGCCAGGGCACGTCGCCACAGTCTGCCTGTCTGGCACCATATCCAGCACCTAGTTCTAACTCTACTTAAACACAATTCAAAAGACCACTAGTGCTTTCAGTTCCTTGCTTCCCACAAATAGCAACAAACTGCCAGGCTCCAGGCAGCTCTGGGATGAGAGTGGTGCCCCAGGCCTGCCGCCTATGGAAGGTGTTTCTTGTAGCCTGACATGTTCCTTGTGCTGTTCTGTGACGCCTGGGCTCCCTGCCAGTCTGCTGACAGCCAAATTGAATTACACAAGAGAGGATGTAAAGAAGGGCTAAATTTATATATTAAACACTGAAATTACACAAAGGGCCCGTCAGAAAGGTTCTGATTCTCAGGGCAATTCACACAGAAGTCTCTGCAGTTCTCTCCTCTCCTGTACTCTCTTCCCTACCTTTGCAGACAGGAGTCTTCCTACATGATACTTAAAACTTGAAGGTAGACAGGCTTGTGGTTTGGAGCTGTTCAGACTCCTGCTGGATCATTTTGCAGGGATATTTTAAAATTTGAGGCCACTAACTAGTCATGGCAGCCCCCACCCAGCTTGGCTTGTTTTAGTTAGTAAATACCTCTGCAGACAATCTAGCTCCCATGCACTGTCCAGCCTTGATTGGTGCAGCCATTCTGGAGTCTGCCTGGCCTCCATGAAATCATGGGTCTTAATAAACAGGAGGCCTGTTTTAAAAAGCAAAATCTTTAAAAGTACAGACTCAATCAAACAAGCTTCTGCACATTTTTGGTCCCACCATTGTCTGTCTTGTTTACTAGAGACAAGGCCCTGCCTGGAAATATGTACAGCACACCCAAGACCTCTAGGGCATGTCTATGCTGTGGTGGCAGCATGGCAAGCTGTTCCTAAGTATTCCCTGCGTGCCCATTTCTGGACACATGATCCATACCTGGAAATATGCTGGTGAAGATGCTGTGAGGCATCCCTCTTTACCCACTCCTGGGACCTTCTTCTCTGGCATATTTGAGAATAGCAACTGGGGACAATTCTAAAGTGCTCTTGGCCTATTTCCAGGTTTGGAGTGTGAATGTGGGAGTGGGTGAGTAGGGCAAGCTCAGGACTGGCCCATCTAAGCCTCCAGCATGAAGGGAGGAAGCACATTTTGAAATGGGGAGTGAAAGAACTATGGGGAAAGCACTGGAAAGGGTAGTAGGCTGGATGCACCCAAGAAAAACACTCATCTTCAGTGCAATTAGTTGTGCTAAGGCTGGAAGAGTTAATCAATGCCTTCCAACCTCTGAATTCTGATTGCTATCATGGTACACTGAGCAGACAGTTATGCTGAGCAGCCTACGATGGCTCATAGATTGCTGATTACCTATCTCTGTGCAGAAATGGTTTAAACTGTTCTAGCACACACTAGGTTGAACTCTTCTATGCTAAATTTAACCTACTATCTTGTAGTCCATCTCCTTGGCATGGTTAGATCCTGCTAGAGTACCTCACAGCTCAGCAAGAACAACTCTATTAGAGCAGCACTGGCTTCTCAGATGGACTGTTGCTACTGACTCCACTATGGCCTACCTCTGGTCTCAATTCTTAGCATGTCTGATGCTTGCTGCCTGTACTCCATCAATGACACCCCTCCCCACCCCTATACCCCGAACTGTTCCCAGGCCCCAACTGTGGCAGATTCCTCATACCAGGTCCCCCCCGACACTCTATCCTCATTCAAGTCAGTCACGACCAGGTTCCACCCGACACTCTATCCTCATTCAAGTCAGTCACATTTACAGGGTTGCTCTTTCACACTGCCTACAAAAAGGGAGTCTATAACTTTCCAAAAGCACCAAGTCCCTCCCTGCTGCAGGGTTCCTATTGTGTCCTGCCTTGGAGGACTTTCTAGACACCTTGGAGTCTGGCCCATTATGCATTTCCTCAAGTGCTGAGCTGCATGTGATGATACCCTGTATTACTCGTGTGGAAAAATGCACTGCATTCTCTGAGAAACTGAGAACAAGCCAAAAGAAAAGCTGCAGTGAGTCTGCTTAGAGTAACAAACTTTCCTGAAGATAATGTTATAGCCTGAGACACCAGAGGTAGCTTGGTCATGGGTGTGTA